TTGCTTCCTCCAATGGAAAAGCTGTTCTTCAAACGCACAGCATCACAGGGCAGTGCTCTGCATTGAGTCAGCCCTGACTGCCATAGCTCACAGGGTTACTGCAGACCATGGGCAGTGGGCACGGTGGGACGTGTTGGGGTTGGACTCGGGGATCCCAGTGGTCTTTTCCAACCTCAATGATCCTATGATTCTGTAAGATGTACGACCTATAAAACCAGAGTGGTGATTGCCAATGGGTATAGCCCTGCCAATGTGCAACAAGCAAAGCTGGAGTGGCACAGAGAGGTGGGAGATGGGAGCAAGGTTGGGCACAGCATTGCACTCATGGCCACTGGGGGTTGAGGGGGGACACATCAGTGCTCCCCTAGGGGAAAGCCTACAGCACCAGGGCTGCAAAAAGAAACCAACCAACCCAACCCATTACCACGGCCATTGTAGCATGAAACACAAACCCTTCCTCCCAGCACACACAAAGCGGCGCGGAGCACACCAGTGCAATTAATAAAATGAAAGCCCCTTTTCTTGCAGATGGATATGTGGGGAATAAAGGAGCTCCCCCGCGCCGGGCTGTCATGCATCGCATGGTACATCTGTTATGGAAATCAGAGGTGGGGGGGCCTTTGTTCGGGCTAAAGCCCTCCCTATAGGGATTTGGCTGAAGTAGATTTTCTTGTTATTAAACATGGTTTCGAGCTAGTTGAGAGCAGATGCTCCTACAGCATTTGGAACTAATAACCAGCCTTCAAGTGTGCAGCATCCCTGAAAAGTCGGGGAGCTCCTGAAAGAGCCATTCCAGCCCGGAGATAATGCGCTGCCCTGGGTCCCTGCTTTGCACATGAATGCTGCTGACACCAGATGAGCCTCCTGGCTCCCCCGGCCCCAGCCCTGCACACACACACACACACACACACACACACACTTGCACTGCTCCCCGCCTCCCCCAGCACAAAGCCCTCCTGTGCTAAGCAAGCACCAAAGCCTCAATTTGCACCAAATCCTATCCCTGCAGCTCCCAAACTGCACCAAATGCTGTCCGTGCAACCCCTCAACCTGCACCAAATCCCCTTCCCTGCAGCAGCAACAGAGCAGATGAGGTTTTTGTCCCCCCATGTGTCAAAGCCCCTGGCATTAGGGATGTAAGTGCCTGAAGAAGGGACAAAGATTGTCACAGCTGTGTGTGAGCAGAGGACATGGAGAAGCACATCCCCAAGTGCTCACGTATTCCTGGGTGCCTGCAGGATGAGCTCCAGTGGTGCAAATGGGCATTTCTAGAGAAGAGTGAGCCTTAGTGGCTGCAGCCCAAACATCCCATGGAGGATGTTTCCACAATACCAGGCAGACTACGGAATATGTGTCTTTAGGGAATGTCTTGAATCTAATTCAGAGCCATTACAGTCAGGACACAGTTAATGGCTTGAAAGCAGCAGAGTGCCTTACAGTTTTGAGTCCTTTCCTACCTCTGGGAGAGGTCAAGTGAAATGAAGCAGCCACCCAGCACAAGGCAACGCACACAGAACGTTGTGGTCCTGGCCCAGGAAGGATCCCAGCTCACCCCCAGAACGTTGGATGCAAGTTTCTGCAGCAAATTCACCGATTCCAGCAGCGGTTTGCAAGAAAGGTTTTTCAGCTATAGCACGACTTTGCAGAACTTGTGCAGTGGGACGTGAAGAGCAGGAGCTGCCAGGATGAGTGCTTTGCAGCGTGTGAATCGGTGGGCTAAAAGCTGATTTCCCATTTGACAGCTGTGGGAGTGCTTCCCTTCCTGCTGATCCCTTTGAAAACTGGATGACATCTTTCCTTCTCCGATTGCTTCTCATCCCTAATCCTCCAAACTCCTTTAGGGAGGATAAGAACGAGACGGTTGGCAGAACATCTCTCTCCTGGAGCTGTGCAGCCCCTCCAGCCCTCGCTGGCTCTTGGACAACCTGCAGGGCTGGAGCTGCCCCTTACCAGACTCAGCAGCCCCAGGGCTGAGGGATGGAAGGGGCTCCCGGAAGGTGCAGAGGTTGTTTCAGCTGCTAACAAGTTGCAGATGTGCCTCGGCACTCAGAGGTTGTGGCTCTGGGGATGCAGCACAGCTCTTCATCACCATCAGCATCTCAGTGGCTTCTGCAGAAACACTCACAGGTCACAGGGATTTGAATGAGAAAGTCTATGGGAAAAAAGATTTCTTTCTGCTTTTATAAGAAAGGAGTTTGGTAGGAAGAAGCCCGATGAGCTGAGAATTAGTAATTATCTGCTTTTCAGCCAACAATCTCTCCCTTTGGAGAGCCAGGCCTGGCATGTGAGGATTAGACAACAAAATGTCATACTGACAGCATCAAACTGTTAATTAGCCGAGCTTTACCCTTTCCTCACTGCAGATCAGCTCCAGGCAGCATGCTGAGGGGTGACGAAGGAGCTTGGCCTCTTCCTCAGCCTCTCCTCCATGCCTGCTGGGGGGCCCAAACTGCAGAGCCAGACACACACAGAACCCATCACCAGAGAACAAAGCGACTGCCCCTGCAGGTACCTGGGTGGTGGAAGCACCATCCACACGTGGGGATGGGAGGGCAATTAAATTTGGTGGTCTCGGGTCTGCAGGGATGTCCCAGTAAGGTGCCTCACTTACTGTAAGTGATTGCACAACCCAGTTGTGCAATCAAAGGAAAGCTCAAGTCAAATGTTTTTTTGGAAAGAGACTGAGTCATGGCAATCTGTCAAATTTAGTTTCCAGGGATCAAACAGTGCTTAAGGGAAACATCTGACCAAACCACAGCCTGCACAAAAGAACGCTTCTTGTCCACACAACTGCAGTGCTGAGGGGGAGGCAATCCTGCAGACATGGGTCCTCAGAGAAACCAAACAGCCAGCATGTCACCCCCAGGAAGAATGACACCCCAGGTCAGGCATTACCCACAGCCCCTGCATTTAGGTAAGCAAACCTGCCATCTTTCCTCTGGCTCAGAAGCTTCATATGCCAGCAGCCAAAGCATAACAAACATCTCCTACGAGGGACAGAACAGCCATTATCATTTAAAGGAAATGGTGAAGCCAGCAGCTCTAGCAAAAGAAAGTTGGACTCGTCGGTGAGAACTCCTGCTCTGCATCTGGGGGGAAAAAAAAAAGATTATTCCTCACCACGTGATGATGAAACACTCTCTGTTCCAAAGACGCACAATTTATGCCCAAGAACTGGCTGAGGAGCTCTGGGAGTGAGTGCTCACTTCCCAGATGTGCTGGAACACAGCGAGGTTAGCGGCTGCGGAGAGAGCTGCCAACACTGCTGCTTGCTTTTGTAAACACAGAAAGGAAATCACAGATAAATCATGACACCTCCATTTCCCATCCACCTAGAGAAGATAAAGGACTCAGCACGGAATTAGAAAGCGCAATTATCAACCAGTGGTCAATTTGTCATCAAAGTGATCTAATTGAAAATGGATTTTTTCTCTTTTCTGCGAGTCTACGTGTGGCTCAGCAGTAATAGCACCCTCCCAATACACATCATTTGACCTGCAACCACACAGCACACACTGATGAGAAGGAAAAAGCCATGGCAATCTTTGGTGGCTCTCCAAAGTGCAGTGTGGCACCAGCAGCCTCATCATGAAGGCTATGATGTCTGGGGAGGCTTCAGAGAGGTTCTTCCTTAGCCCCAGCCTTTTTGACAAGCTCAGCAATAGCTGGAAAAGCTGGAGAAGAAATAGGAGGATCTACAACAGCTGGGAGGGACACAGAATCACAGAATGGCCAGGGTTGGAAGGGACCTCAAGGATGATGAATCTCCAACCCCCCTGCCACACGCAGGATCACCAACCATCCCACCTAATGCTAGACCAGGCTGCCCAGGGCCCCATCCAATCTGGCCTTGAACACCTCCAGGGATGGGGCATCCACAACCTCTCTGGGCAGCTGTTCCAGTACCTCACCACTCTCTCTGTAAAGAATTTCCCCCTGACGTCCAACCTAAATCTCCCTTCCCTCAACTTAAAACCATTTCCCCTTGTCCTGCTGTCACTCACCCTTTCGAAGAGTTGATTCCCCTCCTGTTTGTAGGCTCCAATCTGCTCAAGCAAAACCCACCATGTCACAGATGGGTTGGAAGGCAAGTAATGGGCAGCAGGGGAGCTGGCTCTTGCTGGCTGCAGGGCTGAAGCTCTGGTCACCATGGGGGACCACAGGGTCGTGGTGGAACTTCTTTCCTAGTGGTGCTTCAGTATTCACAAGCAGCAAGGACTGACTACCTTGCTTGGGTTTATACCTCCTTAAAAGTGATCAAAGGCTGGAAAGAGTGCCAAGGCATGCAGTTGGTTAATTAATTGGAAAACATCCTTCATAGCAAGAGATTCAAATCCATTGATGAAGGAGTGGATTCACTCAGTTTTACAAAGAGAAGACTTAATGCCACAATGCAATCACCTACAATGCTTCCCAAATTTCAGAACTGCACATCACTCTGATACGTTTCATCAGACAAAGGTGAGAGGACAGGCAAGATGAACAACAGCAGGTGAGGAAGAGACATTTTTGGGGTGATGGCAGCATCCTAGCTTCAGTGGTGAGAAAAGGGTGACTGGGGCACAGCCCAGGACAACTACAAGGATTAGAATCATAGAATCACAGAATGGCCTGGGTTGCAAAGGCCCACAATGTTCACCCAGTTCCAACCCCCTGCTATGTGCAGGTCGCCAACCAGCAGACCAGGCTGCCCAGAGCCACATCCAGCCTGGCCTTGAATGCCTGCAGGGATGGGGCATCCACAGCCTCCTTGGGCAACCTGTTCCCGTGCAGATGCAGGATGCACACCTCTAGAAACATAGAAGGAACACATGTGCTTCAGCAGAACCAAAACTGAGAAATGTAAGTGCTCCCTTGCCTTGGTTTTACAGGTTTCAGGGAGAAAATGCATGGAGAAGGCACAGGCTGCACTCAGCATCACATCCTCTGCGTCCAAAATGAAGCCTGAAACATCCAACAGCTGCAGTGCTGGGACTCCACTTCCAGGAATTACAGCAACCATGATGTCCTAATGAGAAGGCAACCAGGCAGCAAAGCCTGTCTGCTTATCTCACAAGGAGAAGGAAAGAAAAGCTCCTAGAACAGCCTGGATGTGTGAGACCTCCTGAAGATAAGCAGGCAATGCTTTGGAGGCCAAAGCAAACCACACTTGTTCACTTGCTCTAGTTTCCTCTGTCTGCCTCTGACCTTTTGAGAAATACAGCTCAAATAATCCACATGACATACTTTTTACTCCAAAAAACCCAAAAGGCAATTCCAAGTGTGAGACGGATTTCTATTTGCATCCCACTCCATTTCCAAGCTGTGGCCAGGTTGCAGCTCAGTACAATTACATCCACAAACAGAAATGAACTAACACACAAAGGCCATTTCTACTACAAGTCAATTACTTTCTTTTTAATTCAAAGAAAAGAATGGTATTTTAATAAATACTGCAGAAACATTAACCGAACATACAAAGTGACTTCAACAGTTTAAAAAAAAAAAATGTAATGAGTGTCCTGTTTTATAACAGTTATAACTTATTTTCTTCCACAATATTTAAATACAGAAAGCACTTACCAGCTATTTTGTAATACTGCCCTAAGCGCACTGCTGCATCAGTCATAAGCTTATTATGGTGGTAAAGAAATGTCTTTTTGTGTGGGAAATAATTGGAATGGATTTCTTTTTTTTTTTTTGTCACTGGATGAAAAAAAAAAAGTGCTGGGAACACACTGAGTTTTAATTGTGGTAATCCTTTACCTTTGCAGAAGTCAACATGAACACAGCTTCAACACTTCAAAAATGAAGCATCATCCTTGGAAACAAACTGCTTGTTCTCAACAAGCTATAGCCACACCGGTTAGAGATTACAGCATCCCCCCTCCAGAGGAGCCATGAAGTCAGTCAGTAAACAGTTGTGAACAAATTTAAGGGCTAACAGAGTTAATGTAACAACAGCAATCAGTAAGGAAAAAAAAAAAGAACTTAACCAGTTCACCCACGTAATGGTTAAGGACTGCTGTCTGGATAAGTAGATATTAGCCTTAAAGACTAAATGCTGTATCCAGTTTCCACTGGGGTCCCCTTAAGGCGTCACAGTTCTTCAGACTCCATTTCCTCACAGTGCCCACCATGAGCAAATGAAGACTGTGCTGAGAGGTGGCTGCCCCAAACAGCTGCACACCAGTGGCTAACCATGGGTAACCTGGCTCACCTGCAGATTTTTGGGTTTTTCCCAACGTTGTTGCAGAGAACCGTATCACAGAATAGCACTTCATAGCATTTACAGAGGGCTAGATGTGTGGGAACCACCGGGCTCCCCAGCTCTGAGCAGGAGCAGAGGATGCTCAGGGCTTCTCCAGATGGGCAGTAAGGCTTAACGAATTGTGTTTTTTGTTTTTAAACTAGGAATCATTTGTAATCATAGCTCTTAGCACCTTTCGCTTGATTTCAGAGCCGAACCTACAGTGAAATACCCATACAGTACACCAGAACTTGAGATCATTTCCACCTCAAATTACAATCACGAAGAGGAATTGAAAGTCAGACTCCAAAAGGCAGGCAGTTTGCCCTCACATCCCACCTGGATCCATTTAATTCCTGCTGTGAGGGCACCTCTTACACTGGGAAACCTCACACAGCCATCTCCATGACCAACATGTCACTGTGATTCAGCTCGTGCTGCCATCTCAGAAAGGCAAAGCTCCAAACTTCTCACGTACAGTGTTTTCCTCTAGGTGATGTATAGGCCTTGGTATACTCTGCATTTCAACGAGGAGCTACTACAAAATTAGATCATCTCCTTTGGAAAACCAACTACAAGGTCACAGGAATAGTTCCTTAACGAGGGTGTATTAATAATGTCTTCTTTAAAAAAAAAAAAACATTGAAGTATCATTTTAATGAAATCAAAGCAGTAGCATCCGGGAATAGAGCATCAATAAAAGAAACAAGCACTGTCAATGACGTCTCTCTTCTTTGTGGTGGGTTTTTTTTTTCCTATTCACCCTCTTATTTTTTTTTTTTTCCCCAGCACATTCAAGTGTTCTGATTTTTGGCATTTTCTTCCACGTACCATCTCCTGATGCCACCTCATTCAGAGCCATTTCTTCTCCCTGCTCGGTCTACATGCTCAGTTCCTAAGTACAGTCTCACACAAGTGAAGAGTCTCCTTTAAAGCACTGGCAGAAGCACTCATTAAATACCACGTGGCTGCACACTTCATTGAGCCTCCACTACTCCCGAATGCTCTCTTCCTCCTGCTCAAGGAAATCCAGGTCCTTCACATCACCGTGCAACTCTTTGCTTTGTCCTTTCGCAAGTCTGTAGCCACTGTAGAAAGTTCTGGCCTGCCAGGCATGTGTGAAATTCGCTTTGTTGCCCTCTGTGATTTGTTTCGTTTCACGTTTTTGTTTGTTTTATTCACACATGCCAAGGTGGCAACATGAAAAATGTCTCTGACACTGTTTTCTGACTGTAAGGCTGAGCATTCAATGTACGTAGCTGCTCCAATCTGTTTGGCCATATTTGCACCCTAAGGGAAGAAAGAACACTCAATCACTACCAAGTTTCCAGGGAGCCAAAGCAAACCATACAATTATTTTTCAGCACTGTTTTCCATACACAGTGTTTTGTGAAAACCAAAAGCTAAAGCTCAAGTACGACAGCCAGCAGCTAATTTTGCAAAATAAACAGAGCTTGGCTTCCAAGATGCAGTCAGGCGCTCTCTCGCAGATAAATACAATTTGAAAGAGAAATGATAACTGCAGAAATCCAGACCAGCATCAGTAGGACCCATTCAGCAACTTCACCCCTACACGTGTGGATCACACGCTCACTGAGAAAAGTGCAGACCTGGCAGCTTCAAGAGTTAAGGCTCCTATCTCCAGGCAGATGATGTGCTCAGACTCCTTCACTGAACCCCCCAGCCCTGGAGCAGAGCATACAAGGGAAGCCCTGCTCACAACTCTGCTAAAGAGATGAAGTTGATGGTTAAAAAAAAAAAATAAAACAAACAAAAAAACAAACTGTGGGTTCCTGGGCTGAGGAAGAGTTAGATCAACTTGTATCTTGGGAATGGGCAAAAATAAAAAGGCTCTCAGTGGCTATGCAACCTTTCTTTTGCAACTGCAGGTGTATGAGAAGACAAAGCAGGGTATCTGCTCCAGCAGCTCAATAGGCAACTCCAGCACATACCAGCATCCCCAAGTATCCTGTTGTGCATTTTGTTACAAGAAGATAACATTGCATTGTGTGGAAAATATGGAATTGTTTTAATGGGATTTTACTTCTGAGGAAATACTACAAGGAACTCCAATCTTCCCAGTGAAGTTACAACATCCAGCCACATTCCTGATGTGCCACTCCTCAAGTACTCACACACCTGAGATACAGGCAGCAGCACACACATCAGGCCAGTCCCTCCTCTGTGCTCCCAGCTGTACCAACCAGGCTGATGGCACTAATCTAACTGGACCCACATCTTCATTATGCATTATTTGCCTTCAAGTGATGGAGCTGTTTCCTTATCAGTTTTAAGTGGGATTGGCTGATAAAGGACTGTTAGTTGTAGGACCGAGCCCTACACACTGTTTAACACCCCAACTCCTACTCACCCAAACCTATCTTACTTCCTCAAAAAAATGCATGCCAGGCTTAGCTGGCTGGAAATTGTTTGGCATATTGGAGACAGGGTGTCACCATCAACCAAATTCAACCTTCAAACACTTTCTTATGAAGGTAAGAGGAGCGGGGGGTTGAAACTCCACTAAACTCTGATGCCATATTGACTCAGCAAGGCAAGGGAATCTAGAAACCACTTGCACTTCCTTACCCCAGATGACTTGATCCTTCCCTAGAACTAGCACTGAGGAACACTGAATGACTTCAGGTCACCTCTGTGACCTGGCAACCAGGAGACATCTGACCAGGCTCAGGCTACATTTCCCCTCTCTGTAAAGTGCAGGTGAAGTTGTGCCCACTTATTAAGTAGGGGCTTCACTATCACATCATTTCCTCTTTGTCTGCTCAGTAACAGCTTACAGCTTAACCCTTCCTAAGGAGTTGTGACTTTAGAAGAGATGTTAAGCCTTCAACTCCAGGTGACAAATCCAACTGTCAGAAGATTTTTCAATCACTACTTCTGAAAAACATCAGGCTTGATGGTTTTATGTACCACAAAAAAAATACATATATGAACTTGTGTATGCCTTAAGTGGCAGACAGGAATTCCTTTAAAGTTTCTAATATTTGAAGAAAAATAGTATAGAAAATTGCAGCTTCAAGGCTGAACAATATGAATATATATGAATGCACAGAAGTGGTGCTTTTAAACCATATTTTCTCCAATCAGGAGAAGGACAATCAAGATTTAAGGGCACTCCTGAATCCTTTTATGCTAGGGTAATAAAAACTGGCATTTGGTTTCCTGGAAAATTGTCTGAAATGGAGGGATGCTTACTGAGTCAAGCAGAGAAAAAAATGCCAAAATCAGCATAAGCTATCACAACACAACACCCCATGTCATCTTTTAATTAAGATACTCAGTTCATGGCATCTCCACACTTTCAAATTTAACATGCTGTAGGAGGCTGCATTATTAGTAATTGCATATTACGAGCTGTTGGTTTGGAAAACCTGAGGCTTTGGAGAAGACATCAAAAAGTGCTCCTAATAAAGGATATACACATCAGCTAGAACTACCTACGCAGGTAACATTTTCACTCCTACATCCTGCTGGGTGCATCTGAAATCCACAACCATGTTTCTGCTGGTAGAATAGACACAATAGACATGTAAGTAATAGGGGGAAGTTTATCTTAGATCCTAGTTCCTCCCCCCAGTTCTGTCTTCTGCTCTTCTGTGCCCTGACTCTTTCCCTTCTCACCTCAGTGTCTCTGCCCCGCAATGAATGGCTCCAGCTTTCTTACTTCCCAGCAACAGAGAACTGCCACCAAGGATTAAGATGCTTTCTGGATTTGCTGCCACCTCCACACAGAGCTATGAGGTGTTTTTTAAATGAGTATTCAAGCAATGCCATTTTAATGGAGTCAGATTACACAAAATACTTTTCGTAACACTCAAGTCATGTGTGTAACCTTCAACTCAAATGCAAAGACAGTGATTTTATCATCATTAAATGAATGGAACACATGCCACACCTCTCAGTTACCTTTCTGGCTTCTGCAAGCACTGGAAAGTGGTAAGCTCATTTTCAATTCACTTAAAAAGCTCTTGGCAGCCAATAAAGCCACAGTCTTACAATGCTTAAAGAATGCTTTTACCCTCCACCCCTAAGCACAAAGAATGGCACATACCTGATCATAGGACACGGGCGTCTGCCTGTGATTGGAGAGTTCTACAAGTGTGCTTACATCCGTGCGCAGGTCTGACTTGCAACCAACCAAAAGCATTTTGGTATTTGGACAGAACTCCTGGATTTCTCCTTTCCACTGTGAAATTGTAAGTTGGTGTTATAATGGAGTAATTGAATGTTTAAATCCAAAGAAGCAATGCGTACAAGTCCAAATTTAATAGGTCATGACATTCTCCATGGAAATACTCTTATACAACAGCCACATTCACCTTGGAGCACATTTCTGAAGGCGTCAGTGCCAGCGTTATCTGGTCAAGGATAAAATCTTACAATCTCCTACACTCATTCATTCCACTGACTTAGTAATCGAGATTGTTTACCTATGTGAATAAAGGTTTGCAGAGCAGCAACAAACCAACCACAGTGACTGACACAGGAGCCATGGAAAGCTGTTGTCACTGCCTTCAGTGGTCCCCCAAGGCTGAGCTAGAGGCACTACTTGTATGACCACAAAGCACACATGGCTATACACTGGCTCATGGCTATGTGTCCTAACATCCAGAACTATACAAATCTGTCACAAGTCAATTAAGGAAGTCATTCAGACAGAGCTTGTAAAGCATTTTGGGTTTTTTTTGCACAACCCCACCTCCCTGCATGGTTACTTTGCAGATGCAGAAAAGCCAACAACTCTGCAGCCCAATCTAACTAGACTGTAAAATTCCTGAAGACTAAGAATATAATTTGGCTTTGAAGGCATAATAACAAAAATGTCTTTCAGAATTAAGCAACAATACAGTAACCAACAGTAACAGTGAGAGATATAAGTTCTTGATGTTTGCTGGCATAAAGAGTAGTCTGAAGTGTTTTCTGCACATTATTTACAGCACTGCACACTGCTTTATTCCCAGTGAAACAAGAAACACCAGCCCCAGCTACAGAATAAAAGGAACTTCAGATCATTAAGCCTTAAAGACAACAGCACAAAGTTTGAGTCATGCCCAGTGACCAAGGGGAGGAACAGGACCACCTTGTGAACACAGAGCTTGACTCTCCAACTGCAGCACTTTGATACAAGGGAAGCCAGGCTTTGTATCTTGCATCACTGAGCTGAAATATTCTGAAGTCTGGTGCAGCATTTCATTTCTATGCTATTGCTAGGTTTTATGGCATCTTCCAGAAGCATTTGTCACTGGCTCCTTCTAGCTAAAGGCTGAGGAATTATGTAAAGCCATGGCCTAAGCTCAAACTCTCTACAGATGTGTTTTAAACTATCTCTGTAACATGGCAAAGTTTCTCAGACCTACCTGTTAAATGAATGTGATGTTAGGTAATTTCTCACTGCACCCAACACCACCCTAAAAAAGTCATCGATGTCTAAGGGCTGAGGAATGAGAATTTACTGCACCCTTCAGCTTCCATTAGACAGTTCTTGTTTTCAGTTAACATTTATCCCTTTCAAATCAATGACTTCAAATTCCAGCAGTGCAGAGCACAGTCTGGTCTTCATTCCATTATAAAACAAAAACAAACTGAAGTTCCTAACATAGGAAACATCACCACCCTTCAGAGAGTCAGAGACCAGCTACATATTAACACTCTCCCCTCAAACATTTCTTAACACTTGCCTTTTTTAGCACACTGTCAAGAGTCTCTGGACGACTGATGTCAAAGCAGATCAAGACTGCATCAGAGTCTGGGTAAGAGAGCGGACGGACGTTGTCATAATAAGGAGACCCTGCAGGGAAACAAGGAAATGTTACCAGTTTGTGTGTTTCATTTTCTGCAGTTACTCCATACAAGATTGAACTGCTCAATTCCCCTCTGGCCTTTTGCTTTTCACCTTCAAAAACCACAGCCATGGCACCAGCTATGAGGGATGGCACCTTACTGGTTTGCCTCCCACCCAAGGTTTTTGATGCCCCCTATAACCAGGGAAAGGAAGTCAGGTTAGCCCAAGTTGAAGTTCCAGCCTTAATCTACAGCAACTTGAGAAAAGACAATCATGGAATGGCCTGGGCTGCAAAGGCCCACAACGCTCATCCAGTTCCAACCCCCTGCTGTGTGCAGGTCGCCAACCAGCAGCCCAGGCTGCCCAGAGCCACATCCAGCCTGGCCTTGAATGCCTGCAGGGATGGGGCATCCACAGCCTCCTTGGGCAACCTGTTCCAGTGCCTCACCACCCTCTGGCTGAAAAACGTCCTCCTCATATCCAACCTAAACCTCCCCTGTCTCAGTTTAAAACCATTCCCCTTGTCCTATCACTATCCACCCTCTTTAAAGCAGATTTTTCATGGTTGTTTTCAGTTAAGAACTCAGTAATTTCGAAATAAATCATTTTCTAAATGAAGCTCCAAGTGCAAAAAACATGCTTACTTGTCACAAATTGGCAATTTCTAGAAAAACTCTTGCCTACAATTAAAGCAGTTGCTCCAGAACTCCAACAAAAGAGAGCCCAAACCCTGCAGGCAGACCCATGAGTACATTCTGTCATAATACCACACTGATTTGTAAACCAATATATGCTCACAGTAAACATTTATGTACAGCCTGTAAAATGCATTCTGATCAATAAGAACAAAAGCTAAGCTAGTCATCTGGAGGAGCATAAATAATCTCTGTGTTACATGTCATGTATGTTTTACTTTGAGTGCCATTAAGGGATTTGCTGGTTCTCTTTTCATGGTGTGCAGAGTTATAACAGTACCTGCAGAGCCAAAGCTCTTTGTCACATCATATCTGGTGGAAAACTTCCTTTCTCTGGAAAAGTTCCATTCACTCAGCCACCCCTGCTCAGCCTCAACTCTGCTGAAGTTTTATCAATGGAGCAGAATGAGTTTCTGCCATAGAAGGGTACATCAACATTTACATGGTCAAACAGGATTGGGTATTGGACTGTAAAACACATGCTTGTGACTACACGTGCACTTTCTGGTCATATTCTTATACAGATTTTTCTTCTTCCTCATACCTAACATACAGCATAGGCCACAGGCCACAAGCATGCAGCTTTAACAGTCAGCAGACGTGACTTTGGGGGTTATCACCCAACTGTATCAGCAGCTCTCAAAATACCTAGAACTAATTGTCAGCAAGGTCTCAGAGGCTGAACAGAGACTATTAAATAGATTAGTGGAATTCTTCAACATTGTCACTGACAGACAGCTCTCACTGTTGCACAGAGCAGGGAATGGTGTGAATGTATCACAAATGGCATCAGTGGGACAGCTTTCACAGAAGGAAGGAGTCAAGAATCCCAGGAATGCTGTTTTTGAAATGAACGGTAACACATGGGGAATGAAGCATTACCAAACTAGGTAGCAGAAGGTAATTTGTTGAACAAGACTTATTTTATTCAAATGCTCATCTTCATAAACGATGTCAATCTAACAAAGAGGCAGCTGTCAAAAACTGCTCTTCAAAAGGTAGCTAGCAGTCTTCAGCAGCAAGTGGCATGGTAAAATGAGATCGAGCAAGCTGAGCCAACCAGAGAAGTGTTCATCCAGAGCTAAGCTCTGCTCACAGCATCTATCAGCATCTCCCACTGCAAACTGACCATGGCTATCTCCAGCACTGCCTCTATCCAAGAGCCCCAGGGCCAGGTTCCCATCTGTGAGCCCCAGGGCCAGGTTCCCAGCTCCAGGCAAGCTGCAGAGCAGTCAGCAGCCAGCAGGACAGCCCTGCAGTGTGAACCCAGCCCAAGTGCCAGCTGCCCTCCAGCCCCCCGCCTGCGGGCTGGGCACAGCACCTGCCTGCCCTGCACTCCTCTCCCAGAGCAGGCAAGTAAGGGCAGGAGCTGCTCCCCATCTTCAGGATCATGAATGCCTGGCCAAATGGTTGCTGGCTAGAAAGGAGTCTCAAAAAAGCCTCGCCCAGAAACTAATTCCTTACACACATACCTAACTTCTCACTCACCAGTCTTCAAGGACACAACGCACCATATATGTCCATCAGCATGTATTTATGTATACATACAGCCACCACCTTCAGACCAGAGATTCCTTTTACTGTGTCAGCTGGAGCTGCTTTTGTTTTGAGGGTTTTTCTTTTCAGGTTTTCCTTCTGAGCCTCTCACATTAAAGATGCTGAACTGAGCATATGTACTTTTATAGGCAGCGGCCTCGCTCAGATGCAAACTAGGAGCATCTGACACGTTCTTTTCCTCGGGGTGGTGTGCTACAGAACAAACTGGAAACGTTTAAAGCACTCAGACTGCAGCAGCAACAAAAGAAGTTTCCCAGTCTCATTGGAGAGCAATAACTGAACGTCTATTATCGTGCAAAGAAAGAGTGGCCCCGGCCCTCACTGTGCAAGGCTATTCAATCCAGCATTTCATCACTTCACCCAGAAACCCTCCGAACAGAGGAATCTCAGGAATGAGACTCAAGTCTGAACAGACAACTTGAACACAGCCCAATGAGGCTGCTCAGTCCTTTTCAAGTTAGTCTGCAGATCTGAAACCATGCCAACCCTAGAAAACAGAAGGAGAATGCAAGGCTACAGCCCTGGTATTTGTGAAAAAACCAAGCATACTTGTGTTTGTGATTCACTCCTTACAAAATAAATCTTTTTTGTCAAGGACAACATGAATGATTTATCAGTTCTATCAAGGAATTGCTGATAGTGCTGTAGTTCATCTTGTTCTGTGGAAGTATATTCCAGCTGCAATCCCTGATTTTATCTCTTTGGCAGCTTAAATAATCTAAGCCGAAGTAATTAACACAGTAAGAAGGCTCTACTTCTCAAATCTCAGGCTGCATGCAAAGCACAGCATTGTTCAGCTTTTAATGTGAACTGACCCCCCCTTCAAGCAGTAGGGTGTGCTTTAGGCTACAGAAGTTAGCAAAGTTTAGGTTGAAACACTGCTATCTTAATGCACAAGCTCACGTGGTTCAAAGTGAGTGCATGCTTTGGTTTTCTGACATCTTAGAGCCACTCTGTGATGCTGGATGAGAGCTGGAGCTCTGTCTGGAGGCAGCTCAGCCCACGCCCCTCCTGCAGAGCTGGACCTCAGCCTGCCCTAAGGCTGGAGGAAAACCTTGGGAACAGGCAGCATTCAGCTATTTGCACACCACCAGCACCCAGGACCAGGCAATATCCCACTATCTGCACACCCCAAGCAGCCATCGGGCGCTCGTCTTTGTTGCCTTTTGGACTCCAGTCAACTGAAAGAACAACAGATGAACAGCCGTGCTCCCACTCCCAGCTCCTCAGGCTTACTAATTATCAGCTACACAGAAAGCACCAAATACCGCAGCAGCAGCTCCAAGTGGCTGATTCATTGCTGATGTCTTTCCTCCTTCTCAATTCACCTTCGCCATTCTGGAGAAAATAGAACCACTCCAAACACACAAATATCACAATATTCATAGCGTTGTGTGCTGACATTTCTGTACCTCTACCAGAAAACAGCACTGTCACTCCAGTTAGCAATGCTACCATGCTCCAAAGCAGAGCAAACTACCAAGGCCAGTTACTACCACGCTGCCACAAAAGCAGCAAACCACATGGCTCAGCACAGCCAACCTGCAGGTCAACTGGGAGGCAAGGACATTATTTTGGCATTTCCCTTCATGCTGCTTTACTGCCAGAGTCAGGGAAACATAACTCCACATCTTTCAGATTCCTTCTGACAGATGCTTCAACAAAAACACCTTTAAAATTAACATTAAATACATCGTGCTCATCCAAACTGCAGGGAAGCTACCTGGATTTAAAGCTCTGCATATCCCTTCTTAATGGAAGAAGGCAGGAAATACTGAACCATGAATGTGTCAGACAAATGCATCTGATACATAATGATTCCTCAGCGTGCCCATAAGCCTGAAGAAACTTCTCTCAAACACTGCACACAGCAAAAAGAGCAGAGCTGCCAAGCAGCTCGAGACTGCCATACTGCATTACCACCATGGAATAATTTATGATGGAGTTCTATTGCAACCAGACATTCCTGCTTTGAAAAAAAAAAAAAAAAGAGGTTGGTAGTCCAAAATCCAATTGAAATTCAAGTTGGCAAGTATTTCCCTTAATGCTGCGGCTAATTTAAATCCTTATGACTTGCAGAACTAGACTGTACCAGAAAATATTTGAATAATGAATCTTCCCATTCCACTTTTATTTATGAGTGTTTTGTCCCAAATCTCTGTGTGGATATTCAAGATACAACAAAAACTTCCTAATAAATGCACAGCTACCTTTGAAAGTTCAACTGTGTGCTGGTCCACATTTTGCCCTTAAGGTTCCTCCTGTAATAAGCACATTATATAAGGCATTTCTTTAATAGGTAAACCAAAACCATGGCAGTGAGGGTTGCTTTTACTCTAACACAAGGCTTTTAAACACTGACAAAGTCATCCTGAAATATCTGCAGCATGATGTGATCAAGCCCAACTAAACTGCACCCACTTTTCACCGTTTGTGGCCTCAAAATAAAGGAACAAAAGCCATGAGGTGGGCCATTAACTCCTTTCCCACCCCATGTCGCAATGGACATTGTCCACCATTAGCATAAGGCAGCTACAAGTCACTTTTTGAAGTTAACTACATCTGGGGCTGCTCTAAAGTCATTAAGACGTTTATTGTAATTCAGTAGGTTAGGACAAAGGCTTGTAAAGAATTAAATTACCAAGAACTTAAGATAATGCTGAAACGGTATCTTATCTCCTTGTGTCTCTTATCTGGTGATGATGGTGATGTGATTTCGCGTTGGGGTGATGGGCTCTGTCTTCCCACAGTCAACAGGAAGAGCTGCTTAGAGACTTCAGCAGAATCCCACAACCAGAGCACCTATTAGCCCGAGCATCACATCCCTCAAACATTTCCTCTTTGGTTTCAGACTGCAGAGAAGTTAGCCACTTGTTCTCAATCTCCTGACTGCCAAATTGTCTGTTTGTTCCAGGATGGGCCTGAAAGCAGACGTGCACATGCATTGGGTTGCAGGTGCTTCTTTCCAGCGCTGCCATCCTTTGAAGTGCTACAGGATGCTTCATCACACGGGTGTCACCAGCCTCTGACAATACAGATTCCAGACCTTTGCAAGTCAAACAACCCACGTGTTGTGTTTTAATAACTAAAGATAGAAATTGCCAGAAAAACTTTGCCAACTATTAAAAATTAATAAGGCCTTACTCCAGAGTTTGCTACCATCGACTTAGTCATTCAGGATGAAAGCTCAAGCCAGACACTCTCAAGAAGCATGAAAGTCTATTCTGGCAGAAGATAAAAAAATCTGTTTGGAACTATGCTGATAGTGAACGTGGGCACGGAGATTGCCTTTTCCCAGTAATCATGTTGCAAGCCTTCAAAATCATTTCCTGAACAGCAAGGGGAAAGGCAACTCACAGTCTACTTTCCTTTTCTGCAAAGGGATTAAAATCCCAGTTTCCTGTAAGAGGAGTGATTTCTTATTCAGATGAAACCAAAGTGTTCAATTTCAACATATACAAATGCTGCCCGGAGAAGAAAGGGCTTTTGCATACTCAAGTTTTTTCCAGCTTTTTCTTTTCATTCCGTTCTGCAGAGGGAATGCAGCTCCGTGCCTGTTAATGGCTTGTTGTTCATTCACCCCTGAGTGAATGTGTGCTGATTGTAGCATGTAAGGATGGGTCCCCTTGAAGGGAGCGGATAAACAGGAGGGGGAACGACTGTCTATGGGGGTGTGAGAGTGGATAGTGATAGGACAAGGGGGAATGGTTTTAAACTGAGACAGGGGAGGTTTAGGTTGGATATGAGGAGGAAGTTTTTCAGCCAGAGGGTGGTGAGGCACTGGAACAGGTTGCCCAAGGAGGCTGTGGATGCCCCATCCCTGCAGGCATTCAAGGCCAGGCTGGATGTGGCTCTGGGCAGCCTGGGCTGCTGGTTGGCGACCTGCACACAGCAGGGGGTTGGAACTGGATGAGTGTTGTGGGCCTTTGCAACCCAGGCCGTTCTGTGATTCTGTGATACGATTCCCTGCACCTTCAGGGGGCCAAGGATGCCTCCCTACCCAAAGCCTTTCGCAAGGGCTGAAAAATTTGCTGTGTTTTGTCAAAACAGACACTAAGGAGCCTATAGGGAACTCAAATACCAGCAGACTTCATTCAGTACGAACACTGCTAAGCACCCTTTCGCTGTGGCAAGGGCTCAGAGCAGACTCAAGCTAACCACCGTCCTATCTGCCTTCCACCGAACACTGACACATCCCTGCTAACAGAGATTTGTCCACACCCTTCCTTTACCCTCTCCGAAGTCTGTCAGTACCATCACAGACTACCCGGGCGGATAAAAACCTCCAGGAATCCGTGCTTCACTCAGCAGAACGGAGCACAGCCTGGCGGGGCTCCCCGGGCTGATGACACGGGGCTCCCCGGCACAGCTCGGAGCAGCGGGGCGGATTCGGTCCGGCTCCTCCCCGCCCGCCCTGGGTGGCCGCCCGGTTCCTTCCCGCCCGCCCGACGCGTGCTCAGCCCCGCAGCACGCCGCCCCGTTTCCCGATGCCGGCCGCTCTCAGCGCTCACCGGAGGTGTCCCACAGGCTGAGCTCGATGCGCTGAGTATCGATCTCGAAGCTGGCCGTGTAATTCTCGAAAACGGTGGGGACGTAACTCTGCGGGAGAGAGACAGAGCGCAGAGCGGTCAGCCCCGGCCCCGCAGCCCCAGCCCGGCCCCCCAGCCCTGCCCGAGCCCCGGCGCACCTCGGGGAAGCAGTCCTTAGCGAAGACGTGGAGCAGCGCGGTTTTGCCGCACTGGCTGTCCCCCACCACCACGATTTTGCACTTCACGTTCTGGTTAGGATCCATCACCGCCTTGCTCGATAACTTCTGGCTCGCTCTTCTTTCCTTCATTGATCTCCGCTTAGTATCCTTCGACCGGCCAGAGCAAAATTAAAAAAAAAAAAAAAAAAAAAAACAGACCCGATGGAAAAGAAATAAAATAAATAAATAGAACGAGGAAACCCCGCTGGAAATGGCAGAGCCGCGGGACGGGACGCGACCCACTCCTCCCGCCCGCCGGTCCCGCGCAGACTGCTTTGTCCCCCCGCCGCCCGCTCGTATTTATAGCCTCGCCCCCGCCAATCACCGCCCGCCGGCAGTGTGGCCACGCCCCCCCGCCGCGCTCGCGCTGCCGGGGCAGAGCGCCCCCTTGGGGAGCGGCGCGAGGCGGCGGTGTGAGGGAGCGGGCGGGAGGAGCGGTGTGAGGGAGAGGGGGTTTGGCGCAGCCCCGGAGGTCGTCGTAACCGTGGGGTGAATAATCCATCATCCGTGCCACAAACCGACCCCGTGCCACGTCTGGGCTGAAACACGAGAAACTCATAACGTCTGACATAGAAAAGCCCTAATATCTCGCAGGTGTTTAACTGCAGGAGTTTACCTCAGTGACACAGGCGGGGCAGAATGCCGAACATGGCGTCCGTGGCGGTGTCCCGGTGTGTCACATTGTCAGCTGGCCGCCTTACTCACCTCTGATAAGCTTCCCAAAGAGCCTGAGATGTGGTTTCTGGTGGGAATTAGGAGCAAAACACTGAAGTTCGTAGTGTATGTGTTATTAGGAGGCCTCAGGGATACACAGGTTTGCACGCTGGCTTTTTTATATGAAGAGCTCACCTCAGCGCGACTGCAGTCTCAGTCTATCGCTATCCATGAAGATAGCTTGAGGGAGCTGGGCTGGTTCAGCCTGGAGACAGGGCAGCTCTGGGGAGACCTGACTGCAGCCTTACAGTACTTGAGGGGAGCTTATAAACAGCAGGGAGACACTGTTACAGAGTCAGATAGCGACAGGATGAGGAGGAAAGGCTTTAAACTAAAAGACGGGAGATATAAGTTAGATGCTAAGGGGAAATTCTTTACCCAAAAGCAGTGAGGGCCTGGTGGTGCTGCCCAGAGGTGTGGTGTCCCATCCCTGGAGGTGCCTGAGGCCATGGATGGGCACTGGGCAGCCTGGAGGTCAGCCAGCCCACGGCAGGGAGGTGGAACCAAATGACCCATAAGGTCCCTTTCAACCCAACCATTCTGTGATCCTATGAAATTCAGCTGCATAATTGTCTTCAGAGTACATAAAGTCCTGCTACTTTGTTCCCCTCCATTCTTTTATTGTACCTGAGACACAGAGCAGCTTCAGGAGTGGAGGCAGAGCATCCCCATGTTCTCCTTGAATCCAGTACACCATCTGAAGTCTATCTGTCGAATGTATAGGGAGAAGAAGATGGGGTCGAAGGAGCTTTTTGCTGATCTTGAATGGGAGGTGGATGGAAACATCTTGCTGTCAGCTCATCACTCACCTCTGTGCAGATGGAGGCAAGATGCAACAAAGGCAGTGCCTACGCCAGGCATTGACCGGAGATGTGATGGATACAGGATCTGAGCACCCCAACATACTGTCCCTTTTCATTGTCAGGGAGTTGGACTAGATTACCTTTAAGGGTCCCTTCCAACTCAAACTATTCAATGGCTCTTGATTGTGTGCCACCCATTCCTTGGCATTGGCACGGCTTCTCTCTCTGGACCCAAGGGAGGAGGGAGCCGTGCTCATGGGCCATGGGGGACTGCTGCTTTGCACAGCTCATATGGAAAATTTGCTTGCATCCAGCTATGTTCAGAATGTGGAAACTTTAATGCACACCAAGCACTTACTCATCGTGACTTCCCACAGCACGCCTTGTGCTAATATGAGCAGAGATGGCTGTTTACATGCTTTGTTTGCTCTCACAGTTCAGCCACTGCCAGCGTCACCCAGCTCCAAACCCACGGCTCTCAGGCTGTCCTGCAGTGCTCTGAAAGCAAGGAAGCAAAGGAATCCCCGCTGGGGCTGAGACAAGGAGCTTCAAACCGACAGCCCGAGCTAATATTAGAAGAGGTCACTGTGCGTTGCAGTGTGCTCACTGGCACAGAGGCACTGCAGAGGAGAAAGGGGATAACGTGTGGCTGTGCACTCGGGATTCCTAGCAGGGGAAGCGTGGGACCTCGCAGCTCTGTGCACTTGTGACAATCAATAAGAGAGGGAGCTACAAGATACGCCTGCCTGCTCTGGAACAGCTTGTTTGTTGTCATTCCTTGGGGAAACTGTCCCAGATATGTTAATCCCTGTAAAACTATTATTCATGTCATACTATTAAGTTTAATGCCTCTTCACATATCTTGATAACTAGGGGGATAACACGGCTGGGTTAACGTTTCCATTGGTATTTTTCACACGCAGTCCCATTTTGATTTATACCGCAGAGTTTCTTGCTCTGCTTGGTTCAAATTCCCCATTTTGCTTCAGCTCTGATTCCTTTCTAGATTTTCACAGCTTCTCTGCATTCCATCCAGGGAAGTATTATATGTATATTAATACCATCTATATAATCCAGTATTATCTCTGGTAATGACTACTGATCTTGTGTAAGATTTTATGGGAATATCAAGATACGTTTTTCTCCTCTCACAAGTCATCAGCTTGAACACTTTCTATGACTAGAATAAAACAGTTAAGAAGAGTGCTTTTAGCACCGCAATGATTGCTTGACGATTTAAATCTAAAATTGCCATCAGAATACCTATCCATGTAATGCCAGCTACCAAAGCTTCCGAGGCAAGTACTGAACGCCATACATAAAACATGAACCTTCCAGCTCCCATTCCCTCCTCCTTTCTGTGTGTGTGTGTGTGTAACTAAACGCGACATACATTAAAAGAACATTATTAAGGCTTAAGGTCAAACACTTGTGTGTTAGGAAATGCGCGTTTCCTGTGTGTCGGAAGCGTGGGCTCCCGTGTGAGCACGCAGTGATAGTCATTAATTTCACGATCGCAAATTATGTTTTCCAGAGAACTTATTCAGCCCACAGAGCGATATTGTCACCTTAACGAGCAGCTATTCAGAAACATCTGTACGTCTCACAGCTCCCTGTGTAATCCATGCTTCATTTAGGGCCGCTATTCAAAACCTTCTTCTCAACACATACCAATTTATTATCTCTTTCCTCTTCTCTGGTACTTATCTCTGTCATGTTTGAGTTCTTAACAGCTGAAAATAAATTATTTTTCACGGATACCTTGTGAGACGACGTGATCAGAGTGTGCCTGTTTGACAAATGAGAAGCAATAAGGTCACAAGTACCCGCTAATTTCGGTTGAACACACCAGATTTGATTCATTCGGAGCACTTAACATTATGCAGCACTTCAGAGGTTTCGAACAGAGCTCCTGTTGTTTCTGTGTGTAGTGGTAAAGGCTTAAAATCAGAAAGCCCCAAGCCACGCTGAATGTGTAGGAAATAAAAAAATCTCAGTGATTGTCTGGGCAAAATGTGGTCCAAGCATCACACAGGAGCCCACAGCACGTTTGGGAGTATTTGCTGGCTGGGATCCCTTGAGTCCACAGGAATCAAAGGGGCAGAAGGGTCAGGTCACCATGGAGGGACTGAGATTTTGGCTGCCTAAACCAGGGCCTCGTTTTCTTCTGTTCCAGGGAGGGTTTAAAATTGATGGTGAAATGGGGAGAATGAGCATCTCAGTCCCGTGTCGTGAGGTTGGTTTAACAGCCACGTGGGAACAATGGCAACTGTGGAAATAAGTGCTAGTGATAAAGAATTATGTAAATAGATAAAATTAACTCAAGACATCTGTACCTCTCTCTCACTTGACCAACAGCTCACTGAGCACTCAGGACCAAGTAGGAAAGAAACAAAGCTCAGCTACTCCAGCTTTCAGGAGCTGAGGGCCATGCTTTCACAGCGTAACATGCACACTAACATTATTCCAAAATCCCTTAAGAAATAAGGCAGGGCATTAGGACTGACAACAAGAAATTTCACAATACTAATCATACTGCAATTATTATGATGTGAGTGGGAATTCCATGTCTTGTGTGATCTGGGCTGACCTGGCACACCTTGGGGCTGTATTCTGGCACTCGTTGGCAGAACGGTGCCATGATTCTGGCTGTGCTTCTCACCTCCATTTGCAGAGAACATGTAGGAGGCTGACGCCCTTCTCCCACGTTTGCTCCCTTCCTGTAGAGTCATGGAACCATTAGGGTTGGAAAAGACCTCTAGGACCTCCAGGTCAAACCCCAACCCACCTCATCATGCCCACTGACCATGCCCTTTAGTGCTCCATGGTTCTTGAACACCTCCAGGCATGGTGACTTCACCACCTCCCTGGGCAGCTGTGCCACTGCATTGCCATTCCTCTGGAGAAGAAATTGTTCCTAATACCAACCTGACCCTCCCCTGGTGCAAGCTGAGGCCATCAGCTCTTGCCCTGTCGATGTTACCTGGGAGCAGGGTCCTACCCCCACCTTGCCGTAACCTCCTTTCAGGGAGCTGGAGAGAGCTGTAAGTGCCATCCCACCATCACAGATACACCTGCATTTCGTGACACCTGAACATTTTGCAGCTTGTACCAAAAAGGATGCCTCTTATCCTAGTTTTGGACAGTTTTGAGATAGCCCAGTGCACTGCCAGGACCAAGACAAGCAGTAGAGCAGGGGCTCAGGGCTCAGTGCCCTCCTGCTGTGGCTCACGTCCCCTTGGCCTCAACACTCCACCGGATCAGGGCCTATTCCTCCTGGGTAAATCCAGCCAAGGCAGGAAAACTCCTGGATAAACACAATCTCATGTAAATCCAGCGGCAGCCGCTCTGCTGTTCCATTATGTATGATCTGTTAGTGCTCGCAGTAGGAACAAATCGCACGGCCGGGTGCTCTACCATCCATGAAAGCACAGCGCATCTCAAGGACATTTCCCGTGGTAGAGTAGTACATGAAACAGCCCTCCCCGAGGAGGAAAGCCAAAAATCCAGATTCAGAACCCACAGCTTTAACGTGTGTGTTTTGCCTAAATCCCTCGTGCTGTTCTGCATTCCTGCCTCGTACGAGACCAGCGCAGCATCTTACAAAGCACCAAGTATCCGCGGGCATCGGAGTGCAATGATGACAATATAGGATTCAATTTTAACAAAAAGAGAGATTTTTTTTTTTTCAAAGCCCCATCCAAATTGAAAAAAAAAAACCCAAAAAAAAACCACCATAA